AAATCTCACCAGGCTCAAGGTTGACTCAGCCTTCCATCCTTCCGAGGTAGGTAAATTGAGGACCCGGATTGTGGGGGCAATAAGCTGACTTTGTAGAAACACCGCTTATGGGGGGGGGCAAAAGCCCTAAAAAGCTGGTATATACAAAAGAATGAAGGTTATTGCTATAAGTGCATTGTAAGCCCCCCTGAGTCTTCGGAGGAGGGCGGCATATAAATTGAACTAATAAATTGAACTAATAAATAATGTCTGGGAAGATTTTCCGTCATCCAGGTTATGGTTGTCCCAAAGGTGCTTTTTTCAAAAGGCAACTGGACTTCTTGTATTTTTTTCTCTTGAAGACGTTTCGCTTCTCATCCAAGAAGCTTCTTCAGTTCTGACTGAATGGTGGAGGATGGAAGGATGTATATTCCTTGCAGTCATCTGGTCGTTAGTATTCTTTCTGAGAGCCGTTGAGACCACTTGGAGGTTTACCTGTGCCGTCAGGATCATCTGAATAGTGTAAATGGGTGCGGAAACTTGTTGGAACTGCTGAAAGGACTGTGTTGTAAACAGGAGTTGGGTGGTGTCATATCCCTCCCCCTCTATCCACCATTCAGTCAGAACGGAAGGAAGCTTCTTGGATGAGAAGCGAAACGTCTTCAAAGAAAAACAAAGTCCGCTTGCCTTTTGAAAAAGCACCTTTGAGACGACCGCTTTATTAAGACATTTCTGAGGTTTAAGGGAACATTGTCACATATTTTTATCCTGTGCTTCCTCCCCTCCACAAACAAAATTAATAAACCTGCCCCGTGCATTCAGGGGAATATATTTCCAGAATTTATTCAATTTAATTTAGTGTTACGTCCATGGTGTGTTGAATCTTGCCGTCATGCTCAAAGGACTTAGAGATAGTTCCCAGTTAATAACCATTTGTTCAACAACCATTCGAAGTTACAGTGGCGCTGAATATGTGCCCAGACCCTGAAATTACAACCATTGCAGTTGACCCCAAGGTCACTTTATCAAAATTCAGGCACGTGGCAACCCACCCATACTTGCAAATGCAGGGATGTTTCAATACCCCCTACCCACCTATCTCTGCCCACCTCTGCGCATGCGCAGTACTCACACATTACGTCCTGGAGGGTGGGCGGAGCCTCCGGCAGTCGCCACTACTGGTTCACGGGATCCGGATAGAACCGGCTGAATCCCGCCACTGAAACTATCCCACGTGGTGGCATTCCTTTGATGCAGTGGTGGGTTCCTCCCAGTTCGGTCCGGTTCGGCCAAGCCGATAGCGGTGACGATATGACGTCACCGAACTGGTTCTCCCCCCCTGCCCTCCCACCCACCCACGTTATTCTTACCTTTTATTTGGTCCCACCCCCAATCTATTGCTGCCTCCTGAGTCCCAGCTGATGACTAGAGGGAAAAAAACTGTTTAAACTCTTGCCGTGGGGCTTCAAAGGGCCGCCCTACAGCTGATCAGTGTTAAAAGCAAACAAATGAGTTGGGTCGTAAGTGCGAGGACTGGTCGTAAGTGCGAGGACCTTCCAGAAATGACTCTGACCAGCTAGCCACGCCCACCTAGTCACATGACCTCCAAGCCACACCCACAAAATAAGCCACGCCCACAGAACCGGTAGTAAAAAAATTTAGAACCCACCCCTGCTTTGATGGCACTAGGCCAAATTAGAGGACTGGGACCTTTGGGAGAGGGTGACAAAGAAGTCTGATTTTCTGTTTTGTTGGTCTGTGACCATAATAAAGATTGATTGGAAACCTGGACTTTCTGACGTGTCCTTCATGGAAACCTATTCTTCAATTGCTCATTAGACCTCCAGGTTAATACACTTCAAGAAAGATTTACATTTTTTTCCTACATGCCCAAGTTTTGTGTGCTGTAATTCCTGCTATAAAAAAAAAATTGTTTATTTGGCTGCAGACAGACTTGCCATGACAATGCTCCAAAGGATAAAACGGAGCATGAATCAATAAAGAGATGAGTGGGATTAAGGTCATTTAATCCAGCATAAAGTTTGGAAAAGTAGCCAAGCGAATCCTTCTATGATTTGAAGTGATGAACACGGCTTGTTTTCAAGGATGCAGAAGTTAAGTTATATGGTGGGTTGTTGGTTTTTTTTGAACTGTCAGAGTGGGCAGACAAAATCTGATAGTGTCAAGGAAAACTAGACAAGGAATGCTTGCTAAATCATCGTTTCAGTGTGGTTTGCTGAATCAACCACGAGTGGATTCGCACAACTTCCTAAGTCATAAACAAATTATACTACAGCTTGGCTCAAGTTGGGGATCCAACCATATACATACAAACACAGCTAAAGATAAGTCTAGCTTTACTGTGATTCTCACTTTTCATCTGTATATTTGTTTGGTATCCCCATGTTTTTCAATTTTCAAAAAAAAAAAAAAACAAATCTGCATAAAAGCATTAAACGGTTTTGTGCACATTTCTCATAGCAGCTGGGTTTTTGCTCTCATTTTACCTATTGCTACACATATAAAATGATTTCCTTTTACAGTTTTTAAATTGCCCTTTTTTTTGGAGCCAGCAAATTGTAGATTTTTGGCATGTAAATGTCTTGTGACTGGGATATATATCTGAAAGTCTAAATCAGCATCGAAATGAGAAAGGAATCTTATTTCACATCCCTTCCTACATGCGCTTCTTCATTTAAATCCCAGTTCAGTTATTTTCTAAAACCATTAATTTGGTGGTTAAGAGATTTATTTTCTTTTATTTTTATTTTTGGCATTTCATCCTTATTTGCCTCCGCTAACGATCTTCATTTTCTTTCCATTCCTTTGCTTCACACCGATACAAAATGCCCACTGAATTAATGCTAAGCACACCTGCTGAAGTGAGAGTTTTGTTCATGAAACTCTAGTCTGAAATAAACATGTTAATCTTTAGGTCACTGCAACCCTTCCATTGTTTAGCTGCTGAGCAGATTATCTAGTTGCATGTAGAGTAGGAATAATAGCGATGGCAGTTAGACTTCTCTATCGCTTCACAGTGCTTTACAGCCCACTCTAAGCAGTTTACAAATGTCAGCCTCTTGCCCCCACAATGTGGGTCCTCATTTTACCCACCTCGGAAGGATGGAAGGCTGAGCCAACCTTGAGTCGGTGTGGATCGAACTCCCGGAAGTGGGCAGAGTTAGCCTGCAATACTGTATTCTAACCACTGCGCCACCACAGCTCTTTTAATGGCTTATTGCCAAAATTAGAGAAATTCAATAACTTGTATGGATTTCAGGGGAGATGTGAAAATGATCTGCCACAGAATATTCTGATTCGAGCTAACTCAAACATTCTGGAAGTGATCCATCTTCAAAACAAACATAAAGAGGACCTCTTCCAAAAATGTGGAAGAGTTTCATTCATTTCAGGATCAAAACATCGTGTGACAGAATATTTTGCACGCCCATAACTTTCAGGAATCATTGGTTGTTGGGTTGGGGGGTTTTTTGGTAATGTATAAATGTACAGTAGTCCTCGAGTTACAACAGTTCATTTTACAACGGCACAGCAAAAAAATGTAATATGACCATTTTTCAGATTTACGACCATTGCATCCCCATGGTCACATGATCAATATTCAGATGCTTGGCAACTGATTCATATTTATGACGGTTGCAGTGTCCTGGAGTCACGTGATCACCTTTTGCGGCCTTCTAATGAGCAAAATCAACAGGGAAGCCAGATTCACTTAATAACCATGTTACTAACTTTTCCAACCGCAGTGATCCACTTAACAACTGTTGCCAGAAAGGTCAGAAAATGAGGCAAAGTTCACTTGATGACTGTCTCGTTTAGCAACAGAAATCTTGATCTTAGTTGGGATTATAAATCGAAGACTACCTATATAAGTGCATATTTGAGTGTAAAGGGACATAGAAGAAATAAATCATTTTCTAGATCACTTTGTCAAGTGTTTCCTTCTTCATCCTGTCTAGTTTAATGAAGAGAAGAACTAGGGGTGACATGATAGCAGAGTTCCAAGATCTCAGGTGTTGCCACAAAGAAGAGGGAGTCAAGCTATTCTCCAAAGCACCTGAGGGCAGGACGAGAAGCAACAGGTGGAATCTAATCAAGGAGAGAAGCAACCTAGAACTAAGGAGAAATTTCCTGACAGTTAGAACAATTAATCAGTGGAACAACTTGCCTCCAGAAGTGGTGAATGCTCCAACACTGGAAGTTTTTAAGAAGATGTTGGGTAACCATTTGTCTGAAGTGGTGTAGGGTTTCCTGCCTAAGCACGGGGTTGGACTAGAAGACCTCCAAGGTCCCTTCTAACTCTGTCATTCTATTCTATTCTATTCTATCCATCTCACTTTCCCAAACTTGAGTTTCCAGAAAATACCAGCAATACAATTTTCTGCTGTTGAGTTCAATGGGGCTTAATGCCAAGTAGGGGAGTAGATCAATGTCTCAAACGTGCTTTTTCAAGATACAACTGGATTTTCTGGTTTTTCTTTGAAGACATTTCGCTTCTCATCCAAGAAGCTTCTTCAACTCCAAAGAAGAACTCAAGAAGCTTCTTGGATGAGAAGCGAAACGTCTTCAAGGAAAAACCAGAAAGTCCAGTTGCCTCTTGAAAAAGCACCTTTGGGACAACCATGACCTGGATGACTGAGAATCTCCATAGACGAGTAGATCAATGTTTCTCCACCTTGATAACTTTGAGATGGGTGGACTTCAACTCCCAGAATCCCCCGAGCCAGCATAGCCAGAATTCTGGGAGTTGAAGTCCACACATCTCAAAAGTTGTCAATGTCGAAAAACACGGGCGTAGATAATTCCATGCCTGTTGTACCAATCAGTTATTCGCTCCCTCTTTGGTGTCGGTGTTTTTCATGTTAAAATAAATGAAGCAAGGAGATTGACTTCTCGTCATTTTCAGGGCACCCATATGCTGCTAGAGAAAATATTTGAATGTTTTGACGGTAATCGTATTTCTGTTTATGCCCTCTTTTTGCCTTCTACCTTCTATCCAGATATCCTCTCCTCCATCACATCGTCAGGTTACTTAAATGATCACGATGCTGTTACCAAGGCAATTCAGGAAGCTCGGCAGATGAAAGAACAGCTCCGGCGAGAACAACAGGTGCTGGATGGAAAGGTTGCAGTTGCAAACAATTTGGGTTTAAACAACTGCAGGACAGATAAGGTGAGTATCCGAGGGGGCCCTCCTTGAGCTCCGGTTGTGATGTTGTGCTCTTCAGCTTCAACTTTTGAAGTGGGGCGGGGGGGGACAAAAACCTTTCAGTAACTCTAGCTAAATATTATGGTAGTATAATACAATCTTGGCCTTACTGACCTGGAGACAGATTTAAAGGTAACAACTGATGTCTTTCTCTCTGCGTTTCTGGGTCCTTGTTGTCTTTTATGCAACTTCTTCTTCCGTGTCTAGATCAAACTTTAAACTGCCAGGATGAAGCCACCTTCTTGGCTTCGTCGTTGGCCAAAAATAACCCATTATTGGTAATGTTTCTGGTGGTCGCCAACATATCAGCAGATGGGCCAGGCTCTTCATATCTCCACATTCACACAGCTATCTGCTAAGAGACTCTACTTTAACCAATGGCGGGATTCAAATAATTTAACAACCGGTCTGCCCAGGGTCAGGTTGGCCGTCGTGGGAGGTGTGGACCATCCCCATCCTCCAGCTCCACTGTACATGTGGGATGAACCTCCTGCGATGGCCAACCTGACCCTGGGCGAACCTGTTGTTAAACTACCCCCTCCGCCACTATCAAAATGGATCCTGGGCACTGCGCTGCAATGGAGAAACGGGAAATAGAGCGGCCAGCACAAAGTAAGGAGGAGGAGCAGGGAGAAGAAAGAGGGAAAGCGGCCTTTTCCTTCCCTTGTGCCGGCCACTCCGTTTCCCATTTCTCTTTGATAGCGGGGGTGGGTGGGTGGGGAGGATTTAACAACCAGTTTGCCTGAACCAGTGCGAACCGGCTGAATCCCACCACTGACTTTATCATATTGGTTTTACACTCGGGCACTCCAATTCACAACCTATTCGGGCTCCTTCAAGAAGAATAAGGGAGGTCAGATCGTTCAGCCAAATCCTCCATTAATGTTATTCCTTGCTCTATGGAAGGTCTCCTTCCTCCATCTTTTATGTTATGCAACTGAACACTAGGAATGACCCTCAGGTGTATGCAGATACTCCTTGTTGTGACCCCGACTCCCGAGCCTGTCCTAACAGAGGAAGAGGACACAGAAGGTGATGGGGAGGAACTAATAAGGCCTCCCTCTCCAGGACCCTCCTCTCTGGCAATGCCTCAGGTTCCATCCGAAGGCCAAGAGGAACAGCCTGGGATATGCCAGGAGGAAAGCATATCGGAACAACAACAGATAGGGAGCGAGGATGATGAATCCTGGCTTGATCCCAGGTAGTGTCAGAGGGAGAAGGGTGCGCAGCAACAAAAGAGGCGTGGGAGGGCCAGAGATTGAGCTGAGTCACTGAGCCAGACCCCACAAGGAATAAATGTGGATGTGATTGCTCTTCAGGCTTTGTGACTGTCAAAGTTAAAAACCTGAGAGTCACATCGCATTACCTGAAATCTGGCTTGTGCATATTTGGACTGGACCTTGGCTAACTCTTGCTTCGTGGATTACTTTTTGCTACTGAACCGGACTGAGGATAAACTCTCTCTTGCTAACTGTGAGTGAAAACTGACTTGGCAGGCATTTCACAGTTTACTGCCAAAACTCTTATCTGCAAGAGTTTCTAGTCTGATTGCTTAATAAAATCTTGGCAGGCGTGCCTGGTGGTGTGTTTGCCTGTGTGGGGAAGGGGAACAGAACACTCCTCGCTTTGCAACACAACTTGGGACCAGATTCCTGGTTGCTAAGTGAGGTAGATATTAAGTGAGTCATGCCCGATTTTATAACATTTTTTTGCTATAGATGTTAAGTGAATCACAGAGTTGCTACGCGAACCTGACTTCCCCCATTGACTTTGCATGTTGGAAACCAGCTGCAAAGGTGGCATGTTATTTTTTTTTAAGTTTTATTTATTTGTATCCCGCCTTGAAGATCATATGACTCCAAATTTCTGAAACGCATAAACACATGTTGGTTGCCAAGCGCCAGAATTTTGATCATGTGACTGTAGGGATGCTGCGACTGTCATAAGTGTGAGGACTTATTGTAAATCACTTTCTCTCAGTGCTGTGGTAACTTTGAATAGTTGTTATGGAGTGGCTGTAAGTCAAGGACTACCTATGTTCAGTGAGGAAATGTATATTCAACTATTTGCAAACAACAATTGATAATATTCACAAATTACACTGTTCAACGTCGAGGGCTATCAAACATCTTTAAAATACAATGTATATCAAGTTCATTCTTCCCAAAGTGGATGCAGTTAACGTTATTTGTCAGGGAGAACATGCTAGAAATGATAACTCTCTTCAGATACCTGGAAAGATGATACGGAAAAGGAGGTTTACCTCATTCAGGTGTGCAGGATATAGAAAAATGGATTTAAGATATAAGATATAAAGAGAAATCCTAGTGTGAATTTTGACAATAGCAATAGCACTTAGATTTCTATATCACTTCACAGTGCTTTACTGCCCTCTCTAAGCGGTTTACAGACTCAGCCTATTGCGCCCAAACATCTGGGTCCTCATTTAATCAATCTCGGCAAGATGAACAACATTTAAGAGTACTTATTTAAATGCAATAACATTAAAAAAAATTAAAAGTGATCACTACCACTCTCTAAGTTGCTCATGACTTGGAAGGTCACAAATCAAAGAACATATATATATACACACACACACATATATATATATACATACATATACACACGAATATACATACATATATATGCATACACACACACACACACACACACACACACACATATATATACACACATATTTATTTATTTATTTATTTATTTATTTATTTATTTATTTATTTATTAAATTTATATACCGCCCTATTCCTAAGGGACTCAGGGCGGTGAACAGCGAACGATAAAAATACATGTAATACAAACGTTAATAATAAAAAACCAATTAAAATATACTAAACATTCTGGTCCTAGATAATTCAAGACATCCCAGTTTAAAATAAAATCAAAAACCAATATAAAGGGAAAGTTAGGCCAGGCCGGCCTGCTGAAACAGGAATGTTTTGAGGGCACGGTGGAAAGTGCGCAGATCCGGAATCTTCTGTATCTCTGGGGGGAGCTCGTTCCAGATGGTGGGTGCCCTCACAGAAAAGGCTCTCCCCCTGGGGGCCGCCAGTCGACATTGTTTGGCTGACGGCACCCTGAGAAGCCCCTCTCTATGGGAGCGTACTGGGCGGTGAGAGGCTATTGGTGGCAGAAGGCGGTCTCGTAATATATATTTGTGTATATTATACACGTGTATATATAATACTCTCTTACTAGAACCTATGATGTTACCTAGTTTGGTAATGAAATAATGCTAGGACTTATTTTCCAGTTGGGTCTTATTTTTGGGGAAACAGAGGTAACAGTTTTCCTATCTGGATATTCAAGGAGGAAATCAAAGAGAAAACACATTTGTTTGTCTTTTTCCCTGTCCCTTTCTCCAAAATTCCCCACTAATCAGTTCATAGAAAGAATAACGCAGGGAATTAATGACTGTGTTAATTAGAGCAACACCCGTAGAAACAGTGCTTTGATGGCGCTGATATCATCAATAATCTTAGGAATAATCGCAGTGGTAGCTGCAGTAGCAGCAGCAATTGTGGTAATAATGAGGCAAGATTACAACTTTACAAATTGCAGCTCCGGAGAGCGTCGACCTTAATATTTAGTTTGCGCGTCCAAGATTAATTGGATGTCTAGGAAACTTAGACAAGACCTGAGCCTATTGACTCACCTTCAATTAAACAATCAGGATTATAAACAATGTGCAAGTTGCTTTAGTACCACCGCATTCCCTTGGCAAGAACTATTGAGTAGCCGGTGACGGGAGCCACAATAGTCAGTGTTCTTGGCAATAATCTGGAATACTGTCTATACACTGATAAGCAGGAGTTGTTATTTGAACAAAGAGGCTTTGGGTCAAAGCAGAAATGGTTTACGCTACAGATAACATGTCTAGTTTATACAGTTTAATAGCAGCTGCCAGGGTGGTGTCGGACATCTAAAAGGGAAAATAAGTACCTTTTCTGATTCAGATCTATCCTGATTAATAGCAGTTTCTTCTCGGCTCTGGTTGGAACCAGAAACCGAAAGCTTACAGGCACAAAGCTTGTTGGGAATGATTTTTTTCAACCAACCTACAGCAGGGAAGGAAACATTTTGATTCCTGCCCGCCCTGGTGCCAATCCTTTTCCCTCTTCCCTTCCGAAACTACCATTTAAAAGATTAAATATTAAAATCAGGACTTGAAACTATACATTTGAGTTTGTCTCTTTAATAATATCTAAACCAGGGGTGTCCAACTTTGGCAACTGTAAGACCTGTGGACTTCCAGAAATTTCCAGAAATCACCAGCCAGCACAGTACTAGCTGCATAAACAGAGGGATAGAATCAAGATGACGTGAAGCTAATACCACTTTATAATGCCTTGGAAAGGCCACACTTGGAATAATGCATTCAATTTTGGTTGCCACAATGTAAAAAAGATGTGGAGACTCTAGAAAGAGTGCAGAGAAGAGCAACAAAGATGATTAGGGGACTGGAGGCTAAAACATATGAAGAACGGTTGCAGGAACTGGATATGTCTAGTTTAATGAAAAGAAGGACTAGGGGTGACATGATAGCAGTCTTCCAATATCTCAGGGGCTGCCACAAAGAAGAAGGAGTCAAGCTATTCTCCAAAGCACCAGAAGGCAGGACAAAAAGCAATGGGTGGAAACTATTGAAGGAGAGAAGCAACTTAGAACTAAGGAGACATTTCATGATAGTTAGAACAATTAATCAGTGGAACAACTTGCAGCAGAAGTTGTGAATGCTCCAACACTGGAAGTTTTTAAGAAGATGCTGGATAACCATTTGTCTGAAGTGGTGAAGGGTTTCCTGCCTAAGCAAGGGGGTTGGACTAGAAGACCTCCATGGTCCCTTCCAACTCTGTTATTCTATTCTATTTATGCAGGATGATCCCTGAAGTATCTGAGTCCAAATGAAAAAAAAAATGCTTTATTAGCTGAGGGAAAGTTCTTTG